TGGACCGCCCCCCCCCCCCGCTGCTCAAATTCCTGGACACGACCCTGGTATCCGTAATAAAACGTGTCCGTAGACCCAATTTACATTTACATACTACTAATAAAAAAGCATTCAGGAGAAAGAAGCCTTTAAGCAATATTATATCTTTCACTGTTTTTGGAATTTGTAGTTCTTCACATTTCCATTTTATACCCAGTCCGAGATGTTGCCTCACAGAAATCGCACACAAAGTGACTAGACGTCTTGGACTACATGTTAGCATGTTAGATATTCACGAGACACACAGTAAAAGGCAGAAAACACATTAGCAAAAGACAATTTGCTGAAATCACAGTTTTCGGAAATAAGATATTCTGTGGGAAATTTAAAACATGACCACAGCACAAGAGCGAAATGAATGGGTTGAAGGCCTCTTGAGTCTACGACATTGATGTCTGACTTGGCAGCGATCAACATTTTAGCTCGTTCATCCATATCTGTATACCTTGGCAAGTTTCTTGGTATAGCATATATTAGATGTATAAGAGCAGTTTTCCCATCTTTATAGTGATGGTTTATTTCAGCTCCCAGTTGTAAAAATAACCCCACCAATTCCGGTTTTAGGACTTTTATTGCTTCAAGAAAATCTCCAGGTGCATTAAGTGGTGCTCCAGCTACTAGCAAGATTTTCACTAGAGAAATGCTATTGGGCAAGGAAGTTATAGCTAACTGCAATGGGCGAAAGGAGCCCTCTTCAATTGCAGGATCAGCGCCGGCATCAAGTAGTAATTTTAAACAAGCAATTTGGTCATCACTGGTATTATCGGAGTTCAGACAATAATGAAAGGCGTTTCGACATTCTAGGTCATCTTGGATATTTATATCTGTCCGATCCATCTGCTCAGAAACACCTGACTCTGATGAACTAATGGATGAAAATGTAGGACCTCTGCTTGCCTTCAGTTTTCCATCAGTCGGAGTTATTGTAATAACATCACCACTGTTATCTCCTTCATCAAAATACGGTGCATCTTTACAAGTTGTTTGAGCAGCTTGTGCGTCTTTATGTGGATCTTTAAAAGCAGTGGAATCAGCTTCTTCATCATTAGGCGAAGCTTCTAAGGCTACAACAGCAGATGGGTCCATTTTGGGTGAATATTCTACTACCGCCGACTTTTTTCGTCCAGTCTCTGTGTGATCCACTACATAAGTTTTTTTCTAAATGTTTTTATCGTCTTCATATGAATCCTTGGAAATAGTGACAGCAGCTCCAGAAACATTATCACCCCCATATCTGCGACTTTCGAATACATATGGCTTCATTTTTCTTTCAGAATTTCCTGCAAACATTTAACGTCACAAATATTACAGGCTGCCATAAGAGGATTTCCGCCATTTATCTCAGTTTGGTAGATGTCGGCTCCACCGTATAATAATAGACAAAGACATTTTAACCTGGTGTCAGAATTTGTGATATCCATACAAAAAAGAAGAGCCTCGTCTTCCACACAGTCAATATCATTAAAAGTAGCCCCGGCTTCTATCATTACAGAAACACATTTGTGGAATCCGGACATTGCTGCGATGAAAAGTGGCGACAAACCATCGCGATTATAACTGCTCTTCCATTCAGAATTATCATGTATACATTTCTGTACTGCTTCCAGTCTGATTGCTCCATCACGATGATTTAAAGCATCAAATATATTTCCTACGTCACCCATATTCTGTACCTGTAAAATATAAAATAATCAGATTGTTCGCCGGTTCCACAAAAAACCCAAAAAAAACCCCACCTATCTATATTTTTTCTATCGTAAACCAAGAAGTTATCCTACTTAAAGCTACAATTTCATAATTTTAAGTTTTTAAAATTTATTAAAATAAAGCCTTAAAATAAATGGTATCCATAAACCGTCCTACCTTGTTAAAGAATAATCCTATTAATCCTATTATTCACTATTGCCAGCTGAGAAATTGGCAAAACTATCATTTTCAACTTCAAATTCTAACGTTTGAAGGTAGCTAATGCATGGAGGCAATAGGAAAACAAGGGAGGTAATTGTGTTACTATTTCCTGTGTCAATGATTTTTAAGGGTGGGAAATAATGCCCATGGTCGTATAATAGTGAGTTGATAACCTATTGAGTAAAAGACATAGAAATAATTATGTTTTGACTTTCTTAAAAAAATATGAAATTATCGCTTTAAAACTACTTTCAAATTGTTGAATCAATGATTTTTTTTTTTTTTTTTTTTTAAACTTGCCGTGAATCAAATTTCAAAAGTTCGGATCATGAATACCGCGAACGCGTTTTCACGGAATTTGTCTCATGGTAAAAAAAAATAGGTTGCCAGGTTACGAAGCATACGTCCACAGCAGCTAAGTCTCCCGGGCAGTCAACAAGAGTTGTCGCATATATTTTTCTTTTGCCGGTAATCAAACATTTATAACACACTAAAATCTGATTAAGAGTAACAACTCATTAAGTAATTATCAGAAAATCATTAGAATTGGTTTGGCTTCTAGTTCTGCCCAGGAGATCACGTGGCTAAGTGGGTAAGGCGCTGGCTCGCTAGCCTGGAGGTCTGGTGTTCGATCCCTGCATTGGCCGAGAAAGTTCATCTCGATTTTCCGGCGTGGTTTCCCCTTGTCAGTGATGCAGACCGGAGGACCTGACAAGGACAGCTGCCTAGTCGTTCGGATGGGACGAAAAACCGAGGTCCCGTGTACACATTGGCGTGCACGTAAAAGATTCCTTGGCAGTTTGAATTCGATATAAGAGTAGGCCGTAGCGCCGCTACCCGGGCAAAATTTCCCCCATATGGCTGTATGGCGTATGCCCGTCTTCAATTAGCCCAGGTTAGGTGCAGAAGAGTAGGACGTTTCATTTAATTCTGCCCAGGCTAACGTTTAGTATAAACAACATTTAATATCATGGATTTAACTATTCGAGTTAGCAAAAATCATGGAAAATCAGTATCCTTGTTTGTCACAAAACCATAAACTCAGTGTATCAATCTAAAGTCAATCGAATGATCACTTTGGCATGTAGATTTTTCGAAGTAATCAAGGCTTCGGCAGCAATTATCGCAAATCCTCCGTCGTCTTTGTCTCAGCTGTGTATATATTTAAAGTCAATCCGATTTAACTTTAGCCTCTAGAGCGTCCACAGGATATTTCAAAGTGATGAAGGGCCATGACCGGGGCAGTAATTATCGGAAATCATTGAAAATCAATAGGCTTCTCCGTCTTAATGGGTGGGGGGGGCGACTGGCTAGCACGTGCGGGCTGTATCATATGTCATTGAGTCAACTGGTGTGGTTTCGATTCTCCGGTTGAACGTGACAAGGAGTAGGGTCGCCTGTCCAACCTCGTGGGTTTTCTCCGGGTCCCCCGGTTTCATCCCACTGCTAGAGACCCCTGTGCGTAAGCGAATTATTGAATTAAAATTTGAACCATATGTTAGTCCCTAAAATACCTAGTTTGTGTCGAGTGGACGTTAAACCTTATTTCACTTTTTCTCGTCTCAATCGGATTTAAACTTTAACCTCTAGATCGTCCACAAATAATTGTGGGCGCCGGACCGGCGGCAATATTCGACCACATTGCAATGTGGGCGAATGAAAATTGTCATTACCGTTGAGGAGACCGAGCCCAGTGAAACATCGGTATATATTAGGAACCCAAAGTGTGCAAAGTTGTCTCTTTTTTTAGAGGGAAGGTGTGGGGTGTCTAATTTCAATTGAAAACAGTTCCTTGACGCCAAATATTTCAGTATAAATTCAATATATTTGCTCTATAATCCTACCAGCACCTAAGTCGTCCGCGCCGTCCATAGGGGTTATCGTATATCTTGATGTCACTAATGTAAGCGCTAAGCCTTTACAACAAATACTAAAACTGTTCAATGTTATAACTTCTAAAAAGTTTTCGACAAAGGAGGCATAATTCTGGGACGAAATTACGCACAACCCTGTTGACGATTTGAAATAGTTTTGTTTTAACTCCGATCTAACTCAGGAAATGAAGGCCCAATGCGCACTCATTAAAGATCGTGCTATCCTTCACGGGTGCCATTCGTATCGGATAACAATTGGACTATCTAGAGGGCCTAAAAACTTGTACAGATTTCACGTTTTGATCCTTAACATGCGGTATATGTGTTACATGTTTGCCACGAAACCCACGATTGGCGTAAGGGAGAGAGGCCATTTTAACGGAATGGTTCAGTCTGATTTTCAAAGAAATTCGAACTCATCCTTAATTATTATTGTCTATCGAAAATATATTTGAACGTTTTTTACAATAGCAAAATGAAAGATCTTTAGAGTTGTAGAGAGGCACATAGACGCCCGGACAGAGGCGATGGCATGAAACGTCCACATAAAAATGTGGGCGTGTACAAATTGTTTGGCTTCTAGTTTATCTCGAGACAATCATAATTATGGCTCCTATGCGGGACAATAAAATATTTTCAAATTGATCAAAGGCAATAAAAGTAATTTTTGTTGAAAACAATAGACTTCTTATTTTTACGTCTCAATACCTGAAACATTATGTATAAATTTCAAGCATTTTGGTCTCTGGAGCGCCCACTAGATTTTCAAATGAAAGTCAACAAGAGTCAACGCTTACAGTAGTAATTATACGAAATCCTGGAAATTCGGCCCAAGACCTAAAATAAACCGTGGAAACACCATTGGATCCATGTTGTACTCTCGTCTTAAAAAAGGAGTGTATTGCCTGGGGGGGGGGGTCTAACGATTGAGAGAGAGAGAGAGAGAGAGAGAGAGTTTAACGTCCACTCGACACAAACTAGATCGTTTCGGGACTAACATATGGTTTATTTTATTTCAATAATTCGCTTGCGGGTAGGGGTTTTTAGCAGTGGGAGGAAACCGGAGGATCCGGAGAAAACCCACAAGGTTGGAAATGATTGACAGAAATGTGTACATCAATACTTGACTGAACCATAATACCATAATACCTGAGGGAATATCGACCATAACTAAACAGCCTTTTATATATTTTTTTATTCGAAACATTCGGGCGGGAGAATGTCTTTAAGCAATATTATATCTTTCAATGTTTTTGGAATTCGTAGTTCTTCACATTTCCATTTTATACCCTTTCCGAGATGTTGCCTCACAGAAATCGTACACAAAAAGACTAGACGTCTTGGACTACATGTTAGCGCATCGATATAGTCCTCTACATCCCATGATGCAACAGAGAATGACTGACACTGAGAGTATGAAAGACCGCAATCGTATAAAATCTTAATTATGTCCATCAAATCCTTACAATTTTCACGAAAGTCACTGTAAAAGACAGCACACATATTAGAAAAAGACAATTCGCTGAAATCACAGTTTTCGGAAATAAGATACTCTGTGGGAAATTTAAAACATGACCACAGCACAAGAGCGTAATGAATGGGTTGAAGGCCTCTTGAGTCTAAAACATTGATGTCTGGTTTGGCAGCTATCAAGATTTTTAGGCATTCTTTAGCCCGTTCATCTCTTTCTGCATTCCTAGGCAAACCTCTTGGTATGGCATCTATTAGGTTTCTGAGAGCAGTGTATCCATATTTGTAACGATGGTTAATATCAGCCCCCAGTTGCAAAAAAAAATTCACTAATTCCGGATTTAGGACTATTATTGCTTCAAGAAAATCTTTAGTTGCATTAAATGGTACGTCAGCTGCTAGCAAGATTTTCACTAAAGAGATGCTATTGGCCAATGAAGTTATTGCTAACTGCAATGTACTATAATACCCATCTTTGATCGTTGGGTCAGCCCCGGCATCCAGAAGTAATTTTAAACAAGCAACTTGATCAGGGCCCCTATTATCCGAGTTCAGACAATGATGAAGTGCGTTTCTGCACTCTGCACCATCCGAGACATTGATATCTGTTCGATCGAACTGCTCAGAAACAGTTGGCTCTGGTGAACTAACAGATGAAGAATACATCGGTGTTATATCTCCACCACTATTATCACTTTCATCAAAGGAAACATCTGATTCTGATGAACTTGCAGATGAAGATGGGGGGCTTCTGCCGACTTCTGGTTTTCCTTCCGTCCGTGTATTTTGACTACTAGTATCACTTTCATCAACAGATCCGCCTTTACAAGCTGTGCAAGCAGCTTCGTCGTCTTTATCTGAATCTCCAACAGCTTTAGAAGCAGCTTCGTCGTCATTAGGTGAATCTCCACAAGCTTCAGATTTGTGTTTTTCAGTTCCATTTTGATTAAGTTTTCTTGGGTAACCTCTTTTAAGAATTTCTGCCACGCATTCAACAGCACAAATACCGCAGGCTGCCATGAGAGGATTAAAACCATATCGATCACCTAAGTAGATGTCAGCCCCAGCATCTAATAATAGACGAACACATTTTAACCTGTTGTCAGGGTTCGTGTTCTTGCCTACAAAACAGTATATAAGTGCCGTATCTTCTATCGAGTCACACTCATCAACATCAGCCCCGGCCTGTATCATTGCAGAAACACATTCGTGGAATCCCGACATTGCTGCTGATAGGAGTGGTGAAATACCATTACGATCATAGCTGCTCGCCCAATCAGAATTCTCATCAATACATTTCTTAACTGCTTCCAACCTAGTTGCTTCATCATCATGACTTAAGGCCTCAAATATAGCTTCTGTATCATCCATTTCGATATCTGTAGGCATATCTGAAATATATAATATAATTATTGCCTGATAACTCCTATTATTCTTAATTGTTCGACCAAGTTAAGATTTCTGCATTAAATTGATTTGAATCTTATATAGACAAAAGCTTACTCGGTAAAGAAGGTGTAATGACAATGGTGGCTGTTAACTGAAAGAACCAGTAATAATGGCGGCAAGTAAGTAAAACAACTAGCCATACAAGCAATAGCGGTTAGTACGTGAAACAAAAAGTCATTTCAGCAATAGCAGCTAGTAATTGAACCAACCAGCCCTACTAGCAATAGCGGTTAGTAATTGAACCAACCAGCCCTACTAGAAATAGCGGTTAGTAATTGAACCAACCAGCCCTTAGTGCTCCTACGGTTAGGACTTTTTGTTATTCGAATAGCCGTAGCTATTAACCGGTTAGTAACCGTTAACCGTATGGTATCAATTTTAAACATAAAACAGAGCTTGTCAGGAGCTACGAGTCATTACTCGTGCGCACGCTATACTCGCGTTATAAAAGGCATTACACGCGCAAAAATTTCAGGAATTTTTTCAGACATGTAAAATTCTTTAATGAAAATTTAAACTATCTAAGGCCGTAGCTATTTATTTACCTGGTTAACTTGGTTCATTTGAAACATTTTTTTAATTCAATATAAAGATAATATACAAAACAATACTCAATTTCCCTTCGTACGTGACAGACGGCGATAATATTACGATTACACAATGTTACTAAGAATAGAATAAAGTAAATTAGAAGGCGTCTATTGATTGGACAATAAAGAAATAATTCCTCACTTGCAAGTAGAATTTTTATGATTGGTTAATTTAACTGAAAACCAAAGTAGAATTCATTCGAGAAATTACGAGATATGAAACGTGTTCAATGCCGTAACGAATCTAGTATAATGTCATTTTCTAGCCTTTATGATTATATTTTGAATGGTGGTTACGTTTTGAAGTAAATAATAAACAAGGTAGAATATAGTTAGAAATGCCGAGAAGTATTTAGATTGGATTAACAATAGCAAAAGTCGAACAAGGTCCGTTGACTTTGCCGTATGACTACGACGAGTGCTATTAATAGTATCATTGTTTAGCAGTCGACATCGTTGGACGACTGTTACATTCTAAAATTTTCAAACATCAAATACAAAATTACAACGGACAAGTTTTGTTATAAAGAGGAATATAATCAGACACAACTCTATGTAATGGGGGACATCTCCGAATAACCGAACCGTTGAATTCAAACCGTTTAACCGTCCAGTTCTAACCGTTTACGGCTATCCGACTAGTCGTAGGAGCACTACCAGCCCTACTAGCAATAGCGGTTAGTAATTGAACCAACCAGCCCTACTAGAAATAGCGGTTAGTAATTGAACCAACCAGCCCTATAAGAAATAGCGGTTAGTAATTGAACCAACCAGCCCTACTAGAAATAGCGGTTAGTAATTGAACCAACCAGCCTTACTAGAAATAGCGGTTAGTAATTGAACCAACCAGCCCTACTAGCAATAGAGGTTAGTAATTGAACCAACCAGCCCTACTAGAAATAGCGGTTAGTAATTGAACCAACCAGCCCTACTAGATTTAGCGGCTAGTAACTGAAACAATCATACTAGTAACGACAGCAAATTAAGTGAAGCTAACAACCATACCAGCAATGGTGGCTAGTAAGTGAAATAACCAGCCATAAAAGCAATAGTGGCTAGTAATTGAACCAACCGGCCCTACTAGCAATAGCGGCTAGTAATTGAACCAATCAGCCCTGCTAGAAACCGCGGCTAGTAACTGAAACAATCATACTGCAAATTAAGTGAAGCTACCAATCATACCAGCAATGGCGGCTAGTAAGTGAAATAACCAGTCCTAAAAGCAATTGTGGCTAGTAGTGAACCAATCAGCAATTACGGCTAATAAGTTAAACACCCAATAATACAAGCAATCGCGGCTAGTACATGAAACAAACCGTCACAAGCAATGGCGGCTAGTAACTGAACCAACCAGTCCTACTAGCAATAGAGACTTGTAATGAAAAAAAACCCCGAATCATACCAGTAATGGCAGCAAAGTAAATGAAACAACCAGTCATACCAGTAATGACAAGAAAGTAAATGAAACAACCAGCCATATCAGTAATGGCGGCGCAAAGTAAGTGAAGCAACCAGTTATACCAGTGGTTAGTAACGGAACCAACCAGTCCTACTAGCAATAGAGGCTTGTAATGAAAAAACGAATCATACCAGTAATGGCGGCAAAGTAAGTGAAACAACCAGGCATACCAGTAATGGCGGCAAAGTAAGTGAAACAACCAGTCATACCAGTAATGGCAGCAAGTCAGTGAAACAGCCAGTCATACCAGTAATGGGGGAGGGGCGAATGATTAGCGCGTGCGCGTTGTATCATAAGGTCTGTCATTGAGTCATCTGTCGTGCCTTCGCCTACCCGGTTGTACATGACAAGGAGTAGCGTCGCCTGTCCACTAAAGACTACTACGCGCAAGCGAATTATTGAAATAAAATTGTACCATATGTTGGTCCCAAAATGACCTAGTTTGTGTCGAGTGGACGTTAAACCCCATCCCCCCCCCCCCTTCGTCCCACATATCAATACGAAATTCGTCGGATCCAGAGGTCGCTAATTTAAATGTCTCATGATACTGGCTTTCTTCAAAATGATTTATCCAATGCAGTATCGTTATTTATGATAAATGCTAACCGGTTGTTGTGTATCGCAGCACTTTGGTCCAATGCACTTTTCTTATGGGGCTTATTGTGTAGCTAACCGGTTGAGAGAGAGAGAGAGAGAGAGAGAGAGAGAGAGAGAGGGGGGGGGGTAACATCCACTCGACACAAAAACACAAAACTAGGTCTTTTCGGGACTAATATATTGTTCAATTTTATTTCAATAATTTGCTTTTACGTAGGGTCTTTAGTTATGGGACTAAACCGAAGAGAAACGAAGAGGCTGGACAGGTGACGCTACATGCAAGCGAGGAGTCGAAATCACGCCACTAAATTCAATGACAGACTTTGTGATCCAAGACGTCCGCCCCACCCTCCATTTGCTTGAGAGAGCATGGGATGGGAGAGACGTTGGGTGGCCGCTTTATCTATCATAACAAATTGTACCGGTATTTAAGTTTCAAACATTTTTTATAATGTTAAAGTAGCACATTCACGTGGCTGAATACCACATGCGTTTGCATACTGCTATTCTTGCCACTGTTTCAGTAGTTGCGACTAGAAAAAGTTCATATACGTTAATGACTATTCCCCATTTGAGTGCGAAAGAGAGTAATTTAGAAAGCGTCACGGTCACGGTGATGTTCAAACTTACAGGCAAATCCAATTGGTCAACGCCAAATAGTCGTTTATAGAAAACAGTGGCTCAACGCGAAAAAAGAAAAAAAAACGTTTGATAGATTGACAGTTTTATAGACCGTCAGATTTACAGCCCCCCCCCCCCCCAGCCTTCTATCTAACGTGAGGACCATCGAATGAAAATACTATCGATGGTGAAAAGACACACCGGGCATGGCCATATAAATAACAACAATTGATGAACATTTGTAGGTAGTCTTTAATAAGAGGAATATAGTTCCTTTAGGAACGGTCTCTGATGGGATGCCTGTCCGCTGCGTCCATAGCTGCTATATGAAAATACCGATCTTCCCCACCTCTGTTCTAAGGCAATTAGGGAGACCCCCCCCCCCCCCCGTACAACCCGCACCCACATATAAATTTTGTTTTTTTGGGGGGCCCTGGCGGTATCTTGTTCCTCATGCAAAATCGTGAGTCACCACGACACTGCTATCGGGTCATAAATGGAATAACGGAGAGGCAGAGTAATGCACCGACTCCGATGAAATTTATGATTATTATTATTGTCATGGACCTTGTTATTACGAACTTTTGTGTACGGCCCGAAGCTCAATGTGTTGGAATCCGTCTTAGTGTCTTGTTATTCAAGTCTAAATAGTAAACAAACATCGGCGTAGGAACTTGAAATTATTAGAGGATGTTAAGGGGGACTAGCAATGACCACACACCAAATTTCAGCCGAATCGATCAATAACATTTTTATTTTACCGACCTTTTAATTTCTAACGAGAGAGAACTTCATCTGTTTGACGCCATTTGCTTTGTTTACTATTTAGACTCGAATAACAAGACACTAAGACGGAAACCGACACACTGCACTAGCTGCCTATCTCTGCAGTTCATAAAAATTAATATAATTTTCGTTTACTTTAATTTTTGCGCGAAGCCACCATGTTCTATAAAATACTATTTGGTGTTGATCAGTGGATTGGCCTTTAGGTGTGAATATTGCCGTGACCTCGATTTTGACCTTGAGTCTTAACTTCCCATCCATATCAGGGCCTTTGCGTTTATGATTGCCGTGGCCTTATTTCTTACTGTATTTTCAAAGTTAATGTTCGAGGTGAAAGCAGAGACGACGTCCTTCAGAAAAGATAATTGGGTCAAAGTCGTAGGTCAAGGTCATGTTACAGAAAACTAAACTCAAACTTTTCAAAGTCATTTTTTGGACATTTGACCTTGACCCCGTAACCGATTTCGAAGGCTATCACCTTGGCTTGAATCATGGACGTTTACCTTGGTTCTGTCACACACTGCTCGGTCAGAAAAGGGTCAAACGGAGAGGGGCCCGTGTCCGAAAGGAAGTCAATGGGCGTGGTCAATGTGAAAGGTCGTGGTGACCTCCACTGGTCACCGTTAACCATCCGTGACCTTGACCCTGACCTAGTGTCCGAACTTCCCATCCATCTCGGGCCCTTTGCGTTTATGCGTGCCGTGACCTTATTTCTTACTGTATTATCAAAGTTAATGTTCGAGGTGAAAGCAGAGACGGCGTCATTCAGAAAAGATAATTGGGTCAAAGTCGTAGGTCAAGGTCATGTTACAGAAAACTAAACTCAAACTTTTCAAAGTCATTTTTGGGACAGGGCCAGGGTAAACGTCGATGGTTCAAGCCAAGATGATGGGCTTTGAAAATGGTTACGGGTCAAGCTCGTAAGTCAAGGTCAAATGTCCCAAAACTGACCTTGAAAAGTTTGAGTTCAGTTTTCTATAACATGACCTTGACCTACGACTTTGACCCAATTATCTTTTCTGAGGGACGTTGTCTTTGCTTTCACCTCAAGCATTAACTTTGATAATAGAGTATTAAGAAATAGGGTCACGGCAAGCATAAACGAAAAGGGCCCGAGATTGATGGGAAGTTTGGACTCAAGGTCGAAGTCAAGGTCACGGATGGTTAAAGGTGACTAGTGGAGGTCACCAGGAACTTTCACATTGACCACGCCCTTTGACTTCCTTTCGGACACGGGCCCCTCTGCGTTTGACCGTTTTCTGACCGAGCAGTGTGCGACAGGGCCAGGGTAAACGTCGATGGTTCAAGCCAAGATTATGGGCTTTGAAAATGGTTATGGGATCAAGGTCGTAAGTTAAGGTCAAATGTCCCAAAACTGACTTTGAAAAGTTTGAGTTCAGTTTTCTGTAACATGACCTTGACCTACGACTTTGACCCATTTATCTTTTCTGAAGGACGTTGTCTCTGCTTTCACCTCAAGCATTAACTTTGATAATACAGTAAGAAATAGGGTCACGACAAGCATAAACGAAAAGGGCCCGAGATGGATGGGAAGTTTGGACTCAAGGTCGAAGTCGAGGACACGGATGGTTAAAGGTGACTAGTGGAGGTCACTACGAACTTTCACATTGACCACGCCCATTGACTTCCTTTCGGGCATGGGCCCCTCTGCGTTTGACCGTTTTCTGACCGAGCAGTGTGCGACAGGACCAAGGTAAACGCCCATGATTCAAGCCAAGTTGATAGCCTTCGAAAATGGTTACGGGGTCAAGGTTGTAAGTCAAGGTCAAATGTCCCAAAACTGACTTTGAAAAGTTTGAGTTTAGTTTTCTGTAACATGATCTTGACCTACGACTTTGACCTTTTTAACTTTTCTGAAGGACGTTGTCTCTGCTTTCACCTCGAGCATTAACTTTGATAATACAGTAAGAAATAGGGTCACGGCAAGCATAAACGAAAAGGGCCCGAGATGGATGGGAAGTTTGGACTCAAGGTCAAAGTCAAGGTCACGGATGATTAAAGGTGACTAGTGGAGGTCACCACAACCTTTCACATTGACCACGCCCATTGACTTCCTTTCGGACACGGGCCCTTTGCGTTTGACCCTTTTCTGACCGAACAGTGTGCGACAGGACCAAAGTAAACGTCGATGGTTCAAGCCAAGGTGATAGCCTTCGAAAATGGTTACGAGGTCAAGGACTTAAGTCAAGGTCAAATGTCCCAAAACTGACTTTGAAAAGTCCGAGTTTAGTTTTCTGTAAAATGACCTTGATCTACGACTTTGACCCAATTATCTTTTCTGGAGGACGTCGTCTCTGCTTTCACCTCGAACATTAACTTTGATAATACAGTTAGAAATAAGGCCACGGCAAGCATAAACGCAAAGGGCCCGAGATGGATGGGACGTTTGGCCTCAAGGTCAAAATCAAGGTCACGGCAATATTTACATCTAAAGGCCAATCCACTGATCAACACCAAATAGTATTTTATAGAAAATGGTGGCTTCGCGCAAAAATTAAAGTATACGAAAATTATATTAATTTTTATGAACTGCAGTGTTAGGCAGCTAGTGCAGTGTGTCGGTTTCCGTCTAAGTGTCTTGTTATTCGAGTCGGTTTCCGTCTTGGTGTCTTGTTATTCAAGTCTAATTAGTAAACAAAGCAAATGGCGTCAAACGGATGAAGTTCTCTCTCGTTAGAAATTAAAAGGTCGGTAAAATAAAAAGTTATTTATCGATTTGGCTGAAATTTGGTGTGTGGTCATTGCTAGGACCCCTTAACATCCTCTGAAAATTTCAAGTGCCTATGACCACGGGAACTGGTAGAGGTACGAAAGTGCAATAGCGCCCAAACATCATGGCGACAATCGGAAAACGTAGCTCTAACAAGAAACTAAAAGGTCGTTAAAATAAGAAGTTATTAATCGATTCCGCTGAAATTTGGTGTAATGTCACCTCTACCCCCTCCCCCTTCAACACCACCGAAAAATATTATTATTGGTAGTCTTATCATTTGGTGTGTTGGCGCGGACCCTCAGTGTGTAAGGCTTCATTTTAGTGTCTTGATATTCGAGTCTTAACAATAAATAAGTATGGCGACATCGGAAATATCTTTACACAATGATAAAAAGTAGGAGGTTTATAAAATAAATGGTTATTGTTAGAATCGGCCTGATTCGTCACACTCTTACCCCTGAAACTGTCAAGTATCTATGGCAACGGGATGTGACACTATCGTTGGAAAGTGGAAGCTGAAGCATTAGGAATAGCCCTGTGACCTAGTCATAATCGAACTCAAATTCAATAGCATCAGCATTATTAGCCGTTCGCATTTTCATATGATTAGAAAGTGACGGTAATCCTATTGTGAATTGTACCGAATCACGAAAGCTAGATGTCAGATACACTGAACAATACACCGGAACGAAGTATCAAACTATAATTCACTTACTTTATTTACACATTAAATGTCAAACGGTATACAACGCTGTCTTTAAATGTCAAGGTCATGGGGTCAGAAGGGTCAGGAAATTACAGTTAGTTTATCAGACATGAGATTTTTATGGTGGCTGATAGTTGCCATTTTAAATCTCGCCCTTTTCATAACGCGACAACACGACATCACGACAGTATTGACGCAATCATACGACACTAAATTCTGTCGTATCATCGTGTTATTTTTATCGTAACGTCGAGATGTCGACTTATTGTCCTAGTCTCTTTCTACAAGTCACACTCTAAAAGCCTCATACCCCCCCCCCCCCCGTCACTCAAATAGATGCAGGAGTTTTTTTTATGAGGTGGAGAAAACGATTCGCAGCCGTTATTGACCTTATCGCATATCCGTTTGACATCACTAATGGGAATGGGGCCTAGATGAGTAAAAATAGGCCCAGTAATATCTTCAACTATGAACACACTCTAAAAGCCTCATACCCCCCCCCCCCCCACGTCTCTTATTTAGTTTTACAAATAATTCCAGAATCAATAAAATGGTATCAATGATGTTTGATACAACTGGAAAATAATATGTCAAAAATTGATTAAACATGAGAAATATTATTACATATTGAATCCGTATCAGTGATAACGTACATTTACTCAATATGTTCCTTCCAATGGATCATCATTTAACTTGAAACAAGGGAAACAGTCGATCGAAGAAAACAGATTTAAAAAAAAAAACAGGTTTCAATGTGACAGTAGTGCTTCGGTCATGCATTTACCTCCGAGAGTGCCACCCTTTCTTTGAAAGTAATGATTGTGCCAAATTTGAACAAATTCCATCTAGATTCGCGGCCTGTAGGTAGAGTGTTGACAGATCAAATGTAAAAAAAAAACCCAAAAAAAACAAAAAAACCCCAGACCTATAAAAATATATTTTCTTAAACTCTTTTAATTTTGAAATTATATTGTTTTCACATGTGCTAAGTGTTTTAGCGAATATTTATAGAAGGTAATATAATCTTTTAGTGGCATTTAGCAATTGGAAACATAACAAAACTGACACAGTTATATGGGACAACAATCACTGTTTTATTATACACAAGCACAACGTTTCGATAAGTATACTCTTATCGTTATCAAGCACAATGATAACGATAAGAGAATACTTATCGAAACGTTGTGCTTGTGTATAATAAAACAGTGATTGTTGTCCCATATAACTGTGTCAGTTTTGTTTTTTAATTTATAGAAGGGTCTTGTAGATAAAGACTATAGCGCATGTGCAGTTTTAAACTTCCGAGACGACAAGTCGACAAGTCGATGATACGACAGTTTAGTGTTTTGTCGTACCGTCGTATCATCGACTTGTCGTGGCGATAAGTCGATGATACGACAGCACGACAAAATAAGGTCGATGATACGACAAAATCAGACGATCTTACGACAGTTTGTTCTGTCGTAAGATCGCCCGATTTTATCGTAAGATCGTGTGATTTTGTCGTGCCGTCGTATCATCGACTTATCGCCACTGTAAGTCGATGATACGACGACACGACAAAATCACACGATCTTACGACAAAATCACGCGATCTTACGACAGAACAAACTGTCGTAAGATCGCGTGATTTTGTCGTGTCATCGACCCAATTTTGTCGTGCCGTCGTATCATCGACTTATCGCCACAACAAGTCGATGATACGACGGCACGACAAAAAGCGAAACTGTCGTATCATCGACTTGTCGACTTGTCGTCTCGGAAGTTTAAAACTGCACATTGCACATGCGCTATAGTCTTAATCGACAAGACCCTTTCTATAACTATTCGCTAAAACACTTGGCACATGTCAAAATAATATAATTTCAAAATTAAAATAGTTTTAGAAAATATATTTTTATAGGTCTGGGTTTTTTTTACGTTTTATCTGTCAACACTTTACCTACAGGCCGCGAATCTAGATGGACTTTGTTCAAATTTGGTACAATCATTACTTTCAAAGAAAGGATGACACCCACGGATGTAAATGCATGACCGAACCACGACTGTCATATTGAAACTTGTTTTTTAAAATCTTTTTTTCTTCGATCGGCTGCTTCCCTTGTTTTCAAGTTAAATGGTGATCCATTAGAAGGAACATTTTGAGTAAATGTATCATTGATACGGATTCAAAATGTAATATTTACTACCCTATGTTGTTTAATCAATTTTAGACACATTAATTTCCAGTCGTATCAAACATCATTGATAGGGACCTGCCATTTTATTGATTCCGAAATTATTTGTTAAACAAAATAAGAGGAGGGGGGTGCGTAGGGGACTTTCGGAGTGTGTTCATAGCTGAAGGCAATACTGGGCCTATTTTTAATCATCTAGGCCACGATCCCATTAGTGATGCCAAACGGATGAATACGCGATAAGGTCAATAACAGCTGCAAATCGCTTTCTTCACCTCATAAAAAACCTCCCCTGCACTTATTGGGATGGCGTGCTACACCAATGCAGTGATTTTCTGTGATCTGATTTGAGGTTTTATATAATCCCCTTCCCACTCTAATAAAATAAATTGGAAATCTTCTGAAATCGCTTCTAAACTATCGCTTCAGTGATCTATAAGTATTGGTGGGTGTCGTACACGAGGCAATACATGCTTGTTCGATACCTACCGACACCACTTCTTATTCAAGGAATTAACATAGCTGGCTCACTTTTGTCCTGCTATTATAATTCTAGATTTTTTGAATATAATACCAATAATTCAATTTTGGGCGCAAAATGTTTCATTATTTTGAGAAAAACGAATAATTAATCAACACTTTCCTATTATCTCTTTTGACGAGTCTTATTGTATCTAATCTGATGTAATGAGTGTAATGAGTACAGCTGTATTTTTGTGACTTGTAGAAAGAGACTATGCCAATAAGTCGACATCTCGACGTTAGGATAAAAATAACACGATGATACGACAGAGTTAAGTGTCGTATGATTGCGCCAATACTGTCGTGTTGTCGCGTTATGAAAAGGGCGAGATTTAACATGGCCACTATCAGCCACCATAGATTTTTCACTTACTTTATTTGCACATTAAATGTCAAACGGTACACAACGCCGTCTTTAAATGTCAAGGTCATGGGATCAGAAGGGTCAGGAAATTACAGTTAGTTTATCAGACATGAGATTTTTCCGCCAATCGACCTAAAGCAATTTTTAAATTTTTATAAATTCGACTTCAAACCAAAAATTATCGCCGAATAGAAACTAATGAAAACGAACGTAACTCTAGCAAATAGCTTTCGCTTCAATTGGAACACCCTTCTGTTTTCTACGCCAAGCTCATGACGACTTGAACGGAAAAATTCTTCGATGATCCGATTGGCGTTCGCTTCACATGGCAAGATTCGATTCAAATCGACTGTTTCCGTGATCAGCTACAGTACTAAATTTCCCCGATGTCCGACCTGGGCGGAAATGAAAAATTGCGGACATCCAGTTAATCAATCCGCTCTGGTCACGCTCAAAATTACGCTCTAAATTCCTCCGCGACCTCCGCGATTATTTTAATCCGTTGCGGAAATTAACATGAAAGATCCACCGCGAATTTCCACGCATGTACAGCCAGCACATCCATAGCTGACAAATATAACTAATATCAAACATTGGCAGGCTTTTAAATAATAAAATAAACAGAATTATGGCTATACCGATACATTACTTCATCAATATGTTCGACATTTTTAAGACTTGGATCGATCGACTATTTCAAACTCATTCAAAATTTACACACATATATACTGTCCATTGAAATAGCCATTTCGATTCTGACAAATAAGTTACACCATGCATTTTAAATTGATAAATCACACCTGAAGTAATCTATATACAGGTTTAAATCACAAATGAATTAAATGCCTTCACCTCCTGTTTTTAAGCACACATCGCCAGAAGTCACCCTCAACCTTGCAGTACACATGTGCATTAACACGTATCAGTCAGATAATAGTCTGAGTCAATGCATACGATCAATCAAGTTTCCAAATTACGTGAATTCACACGTGCCATCAAAAGGAATTGATCATTAACTATAATAGAAGCCCCTTTAACAACAAATTGTTACCATGTCGTTGTCTTGTAGACAATACTTTTATTCTGAATTGTCAGTAAGTAATCATTATCCAAAATAGTTGACCTCATTATTAAAGAACAAATACAATTTGGACGCGACCAATCTGGACTTTAACACAAGATAGGTACCGTTGTTGTGACTAAATTACGAACGGGCTACGATGAATAGCATTACCAGTAGATTACAAAGGATTCTATTAATTCTATTTACGATAAAACTAAGGCTTTAAAAATTGTGGATATAAAAGATAATTCAATTTTTGAATCGGTACAGACTTGAAGGTTGGTGCATGCAGCGTGTGAAAAGAATACTTAATCATCATGTTCGCAGTTGACATATTCTGTCCATAAAATCATTCATTTTTTTAAATTTGGCACAAAAATCATCCCTTATATCGCGCCATGCCCCTTTAACTAATGCATGCTTTTTTTGTGAGGCAATTTCCTTTGTACTCTTTGATGTGTGTTCTTTGATACTATTAATCTAAGTTCGGTCTGGACAAAATTCCATTCAAAAGATCTAGTTGTTAGGTGTTTTATTGAAAGCTTCTTCGATATTGTCACTGAAAAAATGAAATTTAATATTTAATTATTGGAAAGAAATCGAACCGGATTATCATTTAGGATATTTATCGTCTACTGTACAAATACGGTAAGCAGTTTGTGTGTTGCATTAATAAGTTAAAGTATAAAAAAATAAATATTTAAAGGGGCAAAGGGGCTATTTAAGACATGATATTTTTAAGCCTTATACCGGTAACTGAATCGATTTGAAATGTTGATCTGTTTTGCAATGTAAAGTCAAATTTACGAAACTGAAATAAGTAAACAATCTTCCCGCTTCTATCTAATACATGACATTTAATTTGGGGGACATAAAGTATATATTGAACGTTGGGTGCCGAATCGTCATTTTATTTGAATTACCGTTAAACTAAATATCGGGGAGAAAATATATCTTCCTCGCAAGTTATGCCAATTCATTTATTTCTACGAATATTATAAAATTCTTGTTCATAATTAAGACTGATAATAAATCAGTATATAAAAAAAAACTCCAGCATATATTAACACATTCACGTGCAAATCGTTACCTTCTAAATATGTTTATTGTCGTCCATTTTCAGACAATGTTGTCAGAATGCACGAAACGTGTTTTCATTGTCTGCTTGTCGGATTAACTAATGACATCGAAAATTGCTATGTGTATGTGCTTTGTGGTACGATTCACGAATTAAATACCGATGTACATTATAAATGAATCCAGCATTACGTACTTTTTAGGAAATGAATGCAATACAGTGGTACACATTAGTTAGTTTTCAAAACACAATTTGAAAAGAGAGTTATGAATATGAATTACCGGTGAACTAAAACGAATAATATACTCGTGATATTGTTCCATTAGATATGTGTTTCTATATTTTATTAAAGAATTACGGCAATATCACATAAACTGCTTGGCTTGGTGCTAAATCTTTTACGATCGAAAACATTTGATCGTGATTTTTATTCTATTATATTTCATTCATCATTCCTTTCAATACGCCCACAGCCCACAAATGTGTTCAACGTACTATACGCTTATTGTTTAATAACTTGATGGTGTTAGATTCCAAAAAAATATTCAAAAAATATTCACACAAACAATTGTTTGCGTACTAAAAAGAAAGAAATATCTAGGCTTATGCATGTATCCAGTCTTAAAGCTAGTTTAGATATTTGTGACCAATCCAACACAAATAGGCCTAATTACTTTCATAATAAAACCATGTGTTAGTCAGGAAAGAGAAGAAGAGAGAATGTGGTTTAACGCCCACTCGACACAAATTAGGTCATTTCGGGACTAACATATCGTTCAATTTTTTTCAATAATTCAATTTCGCGTAAGGGTCTTTAGCAATGGGAAGAAACCGGAGGACTCGGAGAAAACCCGCGAGGCTGGACAGGCGACCCTCCCTGTCACATACAACCGGGGAATCGAAATCACCCAGTTGAGTCATTGACAGACCTTATGATGAAACGCGCACGCGCTAACCATTTCGCCCCCCCCCCCAGTCCCGAAATAACATAGCTTGTTAGAGAGAGAGAGAGAGATGGAGTTTAACGTCCACTCGACACAGACTAGGTCATTTCGGGACTAATACATGTATAAGATTTTAATTTCATTTCAACAATTCTCTTGCGCGTAAGGGTCTTTAGCAGTGGGAGGAAACCAGAGGACCCGGAGAAAACCCACGAGGTTGAACAGGCGACCCTACTCCTTGTCACGTACAACCGAGGATTCGAAACCATATCAGTTGACACAATGACAGGCCTTATGAAACAGCGCGCATGTGCTAACCATTCGGTCATCCAACCCCCCTTCACTAATATAAAGTAATGTATATAATAATATAAATTACAGGTGAGGTAAGGCGATAGACACGCAATATTTCACATTTCAATGTTGTCTTGGTCTGTCGACGGTAGGACGTACATTGCATACATTGGTGACATATTCTGCAGAGAAATATGTCACGGTGTCGATAGGAAGTCACCATGACATTCATTGTTGTTACCCGTACTGCATTGATTACGTCGCCACAATGGTGTACGCTATTCATATTTTCAATCCACCTGTGTTTGTTTTCGAACCTGGACAAAACCAAATCTTACAATTGATCTTGGTGAAAAACTTATCGTCTTACTAATGCAGTGATGCTCAACCAGTGTGCCACGGCACAAAGGTGTGCCGCGAGATCTTCCTAAGTGTGCCGCGAAATTTTTAACGGCACACTAAGAAAATTTCTCACTAAAGAAGCCAGCTATTTGACTGATGAAATTCGAAACACTGCAATAAAGTAAGTTCATAGCTATGAGGGACATTTTGCCCGGACAGCGGCACTACGGCCTACTCATATATCGAATTCCAACTGTCAATGGAACTTTTACGTGCACGGGAATGTGTACACGGGACCTCGGGTTTTCGTTCCATCCGAACGACTAGACAGTTGTCCTTGTCAGGCCCTCCGTCCTGTATCACTGACAAGGGGGAACCACGCCGGAAAATCTGGATGAACTTGCTCCGACTGGACTAATGAAGACGGGCATACGCCATACACTGAGCTATGAGGGAAATTGTGCCCAGACAGTAGCAGCACGACCTACTCTTACATAGAATTTACGTGCACGACTAGACAACTGTCCTTGTCAGGTCCTCCGTCCTGCACTACTGACAAGGGAAAACCATGTCTCGGCCAAAACTAATGCATATAAAATAGGTACATGTAATATATTTCGAAAAGATACATCACCACGGAAAACCCACATTCCGACCATCGTCTTACCCATCAAAAGGAGCTACGTTGGCACTCGCTTACTTATTAGGAGCGAGTTCGACCAAGATTTTCCAGTCTGGTTCCCACTTGTCAGTAGTGTGGGAAGGTCGGCCTGACAAAAAACGCGCGTGGAGCCGTTTAGATATAGAGCGAACCCCAAGGTACGCCCTGTACCCGTTGGCGTGCACGCACGTAAAAGAAAAATAAATTGTGAGTCGAAACGCGCTGAGAATTTGAGGAACAGCCGCTATCCTGGAAATAACTCCAAGTTTAAAAAGATCCCAATTACTTTGTAGAGGTGTAATGTTATTGGTGAGGTAAATATACGACCATAGATGCCGGACTAAAACCAAATATGGACTGAAACAAATAGAGTCTAGATATGTCTATTTTATTAAAAGCATTCTGGAGAAAGAACGTCTTTAAGCAATATTAAATTCTTCACTATTTTAGGAATTTCTAGTTCTTCACATTTAGCTTTTATATGCGATCCTAGGTGTTGTCTCATGGCAATAACAGACAAAGTAACTAGACGTCGTGGACTACATGTTAGCGTATCAACACAGTTCATTACAGTCGATGATGCAGCACAGAATGACTGACACAGTGAGTAAGATAGACCACAATCATACAAAAACTTAATCATGTCCAATAAATATTCGTCTTTACAATGATCACGAAACGCACTGTAAAAAACTGAAGACACATGAGCATAGGACAATTTGCTGAAGTCACAGTTTTCTGAAATTAGATATTCAGCAGGAAATTTCAAAAATGACCAGCGCACAATAGCAAAATGGATGGGTTGAAGACCTCTCGAGTTTGGGAGATTGATGTCTGATCTGGCACTGAACAATATTTTCAAGCATTTTTTAGCTCGTTCATCTCTGTCTATATTCCTAGTTAAACCTCGTGGTATATCATCTATTAAATGCATTAACGCAGTGTATCCGCCTTTATAGCCGTAGTTTACATCTACTCCTATTTCCAAAAATAACTCCACCAATTCTATATTTAGGACCTTTAATGCAACAAGAAAATCTTGTGCATCAAATGGTGCTCCTGCAGCTAGCAAGATTTTTACAAGAGAGAGGCTGTTTGGTAAGGAAGTTATCGCCAACTCTAGTGGACGATAAGAGTCTTCTTTAATCGTCGTATCAGCCCCAGCATCCATTAGTAATTGTAAGCAAGCATCTTGATCACCACTTGTATTATCTGAGTTCAGGCAATGGTGAAGGGCGTTTCGGCACTCCAGACCATCAGAGAGATTTATATCTGTTCGATCGATGTGCTCAGAAAGTTCAGACGTGGGAGCATCTTCGTCGTCTTCAACACATTTAGATAAATCTTCAAAAACTCCGGAAGCAGTTTCATCTTCAGTTTTGTGATTTCCGGTTATATTTTGATTCAGTTTTCTTTCATAACCTCTTTTCAGAATTTCTTTTAAACATATAGGATCACAAATATAACATGCGGCCATAAGAGGATTAACGCCAAAACTATCAGGTTGGTAGATGTCAGCTCCACCGTCTAATAATAGACGAACACATTTTAACCTGTTTTCGGAATTTGGGTTTCTCTCGTTCTCAAAGCAGCCGAGGAGTGCCGTTTCCTCTGACGACGACGCACAATCGTTAACATCAGCCCCGGCCTCTATCATTACAGAAACACATTCATAGAATCCAGACATTGCTGCTGACATGAGTGGTGAAATACCATCACGATCATAGCTGTTTTTCCAATTAGAATTCAAATTAATGCATTTCATCAGGGCTTCCAACCTGGTTGCTTCATCATCATGTTTTAAGGCATCAAATATAGCTTCTGTATCATCCATATTGACATCTGTACCTGAAACATACAACATAATTATGACCTGATAACTCTTCTTATTCTTCATTATTTGACCACGTTGTGATGTCTGCTTACTCGGTTGAGTAGGTGTAGCAACTTTTCCAGAAATCTATAGCAGCTAGTAAGTGAACCAACCAGCCCTACTAGCAATAGCAGGAGTAAGTGCGCCAACCAGCCATACCAGCTATAGCGGCTGGTAAGTTAACAACCAGCCATTCGAGCAATAACGGCTAGTGCGTGAACCGACAGGCCATACCAGCAATGACCGCTAGTGCGTGAACCGACTAGCCCTACCAGCAATAACGGCTAGTAAGTGAACCAATCAGCCATACCAGCAATGACGGCTAGTAAGTGAACCAACCAGCCATTCCAGCAATAACGGCTAGTAAGTGAACCAATGAGCCATACCAGCAATGGCGGCAAGTAAGTTAACCAACCAGCAATAGCGGCTAGTAACATTCCAGCAATAATGGCTAGTAAGTGAACCGACCAACCATACCAGCAATGATAAACACACATCACCGTATTGTTAATATATCTTCTAAGTTGTAACAAGGAAATGGTGCATAATCCTTCAGATGGAACGAAAAACCGGGGTCCGGTCGTGTACACATTGGCGTTCCCGTTAAAAAAAAAACATTAGCAGTTGGTAATCAAAGAAGATTATTGGAAACGCCGATGCCAATGCCAATTTCTATCCCTTCGCATTGAACACAACGCCAAAGAATGAACAATCAACATGTTAGTCTTAAAAAGCCAACAAGTCATTGACAAAATAGTTGTTTTTTAATGGGGTTGGGATCGGGATTGGGTTCTGGCTATGAACTTAAATCAAACAGCTGTAAATTGGAAGAACGGGCTGTCAGATTTACGTTAGTTAACTAACATAATGTATATAAAATAGGGATCTAACAGAACATCGGCATAATGGACAGTCCTTATAACACCGGGAATAGTGGAACATTTGAACATCGGATAATCGTACTAAGGGACTGTCGGAATAACGAACTGTCAGATTTACAGATCGCCCAACCGTCTAGCAAACTCGGTGTACCATCGATCGAACGGATTATGGGTCCATGAATTGAAAAACAGACCGAGTAAAGCGCCAGACCTAATGATTAATATTGGTAGTAGTATTATCCTGAGTTAGGCGAGGACGTATAAAAATTGCGACCTCTAGAGGATCCAAAAGGTAAAATCGCGATTCTTCGTACTACATGTATCAAGGGAAACAATCGGTGCATGTCAAAATCGAATCAATCCCAGATATACTATTCAAAAAAAGTAGGGGATATTTGATTTTTAAGTGTTATTAAAGTCACCTAATGAAACTGACGAAGAAACAAATGACAAAATGAAATGAAGTTCACATTCATCGATTTATTCCAAATGATCTTTAGACTAAGTAAGGCACAGACTGACCATTATAAGGGTAAAATGATACCCGGGGTCAAACAGCAAAGTTACCACAGCATCACAACCAAGTCAGTAACGGGTAAATCCTCCTCTGTTTGCCAAACAAGCATTGATCCGACGTGGCATACTCCTAATGAGACGTCTAAGGTCATTTTGGTCCAGATTGTCCCATTCCTGTTGCAACGCAGCAGCAAGTTCTTGGACATTGGCAGGACGTTGTTGACGTTGACGTAACCTCTGTCCAAGCATGTCCCAGACATGCTCGATGGGGGAGAGGTCGGGACTCAGTGCTGGCCAAGGTAATGTGGTGATGTTCTGTTGTTGGAGGTAACCTGTAAAGATCCTGGCCCTGTGACATCTTGCGTTGTCATCCTGGAAGATGAAACGGCGGCCATGACGTCGTGCGAACGGCACAACATGGACTGCCAAGATGTTGTCCCGGTAGTACTGGCCTGTAACACGCCCTGCAACAACATGTAAAGCCGTTCTTCCAGCAACAGTGATGCCTCCCCACACCATAACAGAACCACCCCCAAATCGATCATGTCTGATGACGTTAACGTCTTGGAAGCGCTCGTTTCGACGACGCCACACCCTCCTACGTCTGTCCAAAAAATCAACAGTGAACCTTGACTCATCTGAAAACATCACATTGCTCCAGCGTCGATTATCCCAGTGTCGACGATCCCTACACCAACCTCGTCTTGCCTGAATGTGATGATCTCTCAAACAAGGGATCACGCGAGGACGTCGGGCGCGAAGGTGACCCCTATGCAGTCGATTCCGAATCGTCTGGCCACTCACTCTCACACCAGTGTCTGTTTGAAGACGAGCGCTGATCTGATTTGCTGTGATGACACGATTTCTCAAGGCCAAGGTACGGATAAATCGATCCTGGGCTTGAGTTGTCGCCCTTGGTCGACCTGAGCGTGGTCTGTCCTGTACAGATTGTGTATCACGGTATCTGGACCATAGCCTGCTTATGACAGACTGAGAAACATTCATCGTCCGCGCCACAACCGCCTGTGTTGTGCCGATCTGTAGCATGCCAAGGGCACGTAACCTTTCATTTTGGGTAAGCCGACGCATATCAATATTTGTTTTCTGGTCACTAAAACAATTAAACTGATGTTTCCACCCTGGAATTCAATGCCACAATGACTGTAACATTCAAAGTCAGAGTCGTGCAAATCTTGGGTTGGACCCCCATGATGATCCCAAGCATCACCTACATTCCATGCGGTAGCTATTGGTGCGTTTGGGCGTCACATGTAACTGGAAATGTTTCTTCTGTTAGGTTCTATAGTGACTTTTTTCGTAGTCATTTGCATATTTTAGTATTATGCCCCCAAAATCAAATATCCCCTACTTTTTTTGAATAGTATATTATAGTCCAAGATGTTGCCTCACAGAAATTTTACACAGCGAGACTAGGCGTCTTGGGCTACTTGTAACCATATTAACCCAGTCTTTCGCGGTTGGTGATAGAGAACCAAAGGTCTGGCAAAGAGGGTATGGTAGTCGACAATCATACAAAAATCTGTACTTGTTCAAGACATAATCGGCCTTATAATAGTCGCAAACACCAAAATAATAAACAGAAGAGATGTTGCATGGCAAAAGACATTTTGTTCAAGTAACAGTTTTCTGAAATAAGGTATTCGGCAGGAAATTTGAAAACGACCAAATCACAAGTGCAAAATGGACGGGTTGAAGACCTCTCGAGTTTGCGAGATTGATATCTGATTTGGCATCTATCAACAATTTAAAGCATTTTTTAGTTCGTTCATCTATGTCTTTCTTTCTAGAAAACACTCTTGATATGCCATCAATTAGATGTATGAGAGCAGTGTCTCCGTCTTCATCACGTTGATTAACATTAGCTCCCATCTCCAAAAATAACTCCACTAAATGAATATCACGGATCTTTGTGGCAGCAACAAAATCTTCAGAGGCATTAAATTCTGCTCCAGCTGCTAGCAAGATCTCTACTAAAGTGGCTGTATTGGCTAATGAAGTTATGGCTAACTCCAGTGGACAAATAATGCCCAATTCTTTAGCAGTAGGATCAGCTCCGGCATTCGTTAGTAATATCAAACAACCTGATCAGCACTGGTATTATCTGAGCTCAAGCAACGATGAAGTGCGTTTCTACCTTCCGGGTGATCAATCAAATTGATATCTGTTTTATCTTCCTTCTCTTCTGATTCCCAGTTATTCATGTCTGAGCTCTTTCGTTTTCTTTTTGTCAGTGGTATTGCACCAAACTTGTGTTGTTTGTGATCGCATGGTGATGCTCCGTCTTCTGTAAGTCTATTTTCAAAAGCTTTAGAAGTATCTGTGTCTTCTTTAGATGAAGTTGTGCCAACTATTAAAGTTGATTCGTCACCTTTTGTTGAACATCTACTAGCCTTGGTTTCATTTTGGCCCATTGGTCTTCCGTAACCTACTTTCAGAATTTCTTTCAAACATTTAACATCACAGATATTGCTCGCTGCCATAAGAGGATTTACACCATACCTATCTGTCTGGTAGACATCAGCTCCACCATCTAGTAACAGAAGAACACATTTGAATCTAGTATCGGAATTTTTGTTCTTTTCGTCGTTGAAGCAGCAAAGGAGGGCTGTTTCTTCTGTAGAGCCACAACCATTGACATCAGCCCCGGCTTCTATCATGACAGAAACACATTCGTGGAATCCTGACATTGCTGCTGACATGAGTAGTGAAAAACCATCACGATCATAGCTGTTCTTCCAATCAGAACTCAAATTAATGACTTTTTTCAAAGATTCCAACCTTGTCTCGTTAACTAAGGTATCAAATATACTAGTATCTTCTGGGATGTAGTCCATGATTTTCTGTAAAATGATTTTATTTTCCAATATTAAGGTTCCAAGAATTTCATCAGGTTTGCTAGATAATTCGAGTTTAGGTCACAATACATGTGTGAAGGTGTCAAACAGCCTTAGTAGGCCTATCTTGATATTAGAGTCTACAACCACTGTGGCCGACTTTTGCAATACAAACATACTATATCAATACTAAAAGGTCTGTGAAATAAACAGTTATTGACTCAATTGGCTTAAATTTAGTGCTACTATACCACTATTCACCTTTAACAGCGTCTGATATTTTCAAGTCACTACTCATCTACTGTCTATTTTAAAAACACTTATTATATACTACTTCTGAATTTATTAACATGCTACGTTTCGATACACATACAGATATCGTTATCAAGCATATCTGTATGTGTATCGAAACGTAGCATGTTAACAAATTCAGAAGTAGTATATCCATATAAGTGTTTTTAATTTGTGAAATCTATCTCTATTTGTAGGAGCTTTTACGGGTTTTACTTTTGACGTCATTTTCGGTCATGCGCAGACACTGGCCTTATTCGTAGACTGAAACCCATAGGCTAGTGTGTGTTATTTTGTGAAAATACCGTCGTACAGTAAGCTTCTTTTACATAAAATGGAACTGAACGCCATTTCTATATACGCGTACGGTTTACCGACCGATGCCAGAAAGCGATATTTACAAAAACCTCGATATAGGAAAGATACGACAAGTTTACCAGACCCGTAATTGGCCGTTTGCAATTGAGGAAACAGTGGATGACTGATCCGTGCTCATGGCCCGAACTAGAATTAAGTCAAACGCATTTTACGGTCAAACAAATATTATATATTAATTACGGGACTATTAACACAAAAGATTTAAATGGTCTATCCTATTTACATTCAACTGCCGACTGGGCAGTTCTTTGCGATGTTGATATATCGCCTGCTATAGCACTGCATGCTACCCTACACGACACAAAACACGGTACTATGTTGGTCTTTGAGGCTGTCGACTTGAAAATGATTCCAGCTAATAATACTATAAATAGTATGCAATATGCAAATAAGATTGTTTATGCGTGCTGTTAGCCAATAGCTATTGTAAATTTCCCCGCGTTTAGACGGCTCTAGCCAATGATAAAATAGTTGTTTGATGCACGGGGTAAAACTTCAGCCATTTTTATAAATTGTCCGCTTGATGGGATATGAATAGGCCCTAACAGAAAAAATAAAACGACGATCAAGTTGAATCTGTGAATATTTTTAAACCGTTTTTTTTTCTGTCACATAAATCGTCTTGGCTCAGCTTTTGGCACTCAGTGAAATTTTAATCCAATAAGTTTATCTTGCCGCAACCAAGAAGAAGAACGATACATTTGTGTCCATTTTATCAATTTCTAATTCAGTATTTGGTTCAGAGAACAACTGTTGAATGAAAATATGTAACTGGACTCAGTGCATTCTATACATCGTGATTATTATTTGTTCTCTTTTTTATTAGATGTGCTACGGTCGTGCTTACATTTTAATATCGTCTTGAATAATTATTTCGTGGAACCGCAGGTCACCATCTCTAACCCATTCTATTATTTACTCTTATGCTCTATTTCATGGCATTTTACAACCAAACAGATGTTATCTATTAATTGTTTGCAATAAAATTAAAACAAAACATATAAATCGGCTTCATACAGTAATGCATCTTTGTAATGCTTTTGCGTACTGCGGTCAACTGGACCGTGTACGAGCTTGACATATCGTACAACATGAGTGGCATTCAAGAATACTTTTTGTATAAAGAGAAAAAGAGGGAAAAAAAACATTTTCCCTAGCATTTACCATGTTAATACCCGTGTTGAAAAGGGCCAGGCTTAAAACAGACACCGGTATACGTCACGCGTAAAAGCTCCTATAAATAAGGATCATCTACTGTCACTGACAAGGGAAGTGCTAAATATGCAATTCGTCGTTGGTTCGTAGGGTCCCAGTCCATTTTTATTACCATTTTAGCAGCAGTGTTATGAGATTAGAAAATGACAACAATCGATTTGTGCATTGGACCCGATCATAAACGGACATTGAATAAATAAATTGGCCAAAATGAAACAAACTATTCTGCACTTACCCTATCAAACGGCACACAGAGCGCCCTCTTCCAAAGTCAAGGTCATGGCCGGGTTCAGCCGGGTCCAACACTTCAGTTTATTTTTTTTTTTAAATTATATATAGTTAACTACATTATATTATTATAGTGAGTGCCGTGATTTTTTTTTTTTGTTTTTTTTTTTTGAGGGGGAGGGGGGCGATTTCATATATATTAAATTATTCCTTTCAATGCGGCCACACTGTGTCAGTATGAAATATGTTCAACTGAGTACGGTAACAAAATAGTTGTGTGGGCATATAATTTTGATTCGATTTTTATTTTAAGTTTCCTACAGATTCTATAATTTGAATCTGAACAATTTTATCTACCTTTTTTAATTGTTTCAATTATTAATCGTCAAGAACGAATCTGTAATCCATGCATCACAGCGTCACCGACCGTGGTGATAAATTTGTTTTAGAGAGAACACTGCAGACAGTTTAGGAAGGAATCAAGGTCAGCAGTTTGTAAAATTAAATAAAAAGTAACAGCCTTGGAAAAAAATAGTTCAACAAGAAACAGTTTTGACACAGCAGGATGTTAATGGGCCGATATTGGACTATAAAAGACATTTCAATAAAGTCTAATGTGTTTTGTCCCTGATATGGCGCGTTTGATCAAAGTCCAAATTTAATATAAAGCTTCGGCTGTCGGCGAGAGTTATCCCTCCTTTAGTAAAATCGGAAAAAAAAAGAGTGGTAGTTTCAATTATTAATTTTCTCCTGTATGAATTTGTAACGAATATACACGTATTAACAAAGCTTTCTTATAAAACTGGGTATTTTTGCTAATGAATTCAACTTTTTACTCGATTGACACTGTTTGTGAATGAATCAAGCATCCCCGAGGTCTCTTCAGGTTTGTCATGAGCACACAGTAGCGCGACATTTCGGTCTCGCGTCATTTCGGACTCAACACAGACAACCTTTCGGACTCAGTTTGACGACGTTTCGGACTCGGATAAATAATTAAAAGATTGATATATTAGTAACAGATGGGTTTTTTTTTTATCATATGTGGCGCTGATAGTTGTTTTTTTTTTTTTTTTTTATATTTGATTGATCAACGATTGTTGAGACCGCTAATAAAAGAATAACACTGCTAGTTCTCTTTAGTTTTGTTTGATCAGCGACTTGACAATAAAATTAAAATATTGTTGAAAATCTGTGTTAGTAATACTTCGCTGTTTTTCTTTTATCGAATAGTAAATGTGGTCTATACAGTGCGAAATCCACGACTCCACGTGCTGTACGTACTTGATGGTGAGCGGTAAAATTTTACCTGCATGTTATTTTTATAAAATCCTTTTTGGCTTATTATAAATTTTACAGTTGTGATCAACTTTCCTTTCAACTTATTCCAAAATGTCACCTGCCCGAGTCCGAAACGTTAAGGCCATATTTATTTTTTAGTCTGAAAGGTCTAAGTCTGAAATGTAGCGGGACCGAAATGTCATGTAATCTTCCACACTCGAGAACGTAGCTAAAAAAAAATGGTTGAGTATTATCAGTAAAGTTAATCAAGCAGGACTTTAATAGAATTGAATAGATTAATCGTGCATTTTGCGCGACCCATAAGGATCCCTACTTACTTGCGATTTTAATTGTCTTATTTTATTTTGATTTCTTGTTGTACACAGCATATTATGTTTAGCCCTGCCTTCATGACATTAAGACGTCACACCTGTTACATTTTAAAATTTTGTGCAAAATCTTTATCAGGCTGAATGTTTGCCATCAGAGTAGCTCGCTTGAAGCTACTCCAGGGTGTCTCAAGGCAGTGGTTCTCAACCTTTTTTTGCCAACGGCACACCTTGGAATACATGAAAAAATAGCAGCACACCTGACTAAATATATATGAAAAATATTTGAATTTTGCAAAATAAAAACATGATAAGTCAGACGGCATACAACTGTAGACAGAGACTAGTATTAGACACATAGAATGACTCAAACTAAATAAAGAAAAACACAGCTATGAACTTATCAGTAGGCATCAGTTAATACTCAATTGGGATCACGTGGGTTTTCACATTTTCTTAGTGTGCCGTTCAAAATTTCGCGGTACATTTAGGAAGATCTCTCAGCACACCTGTGTGCCATGGCACACTGGTTGAGAATCACTGGTCTCAAGGTAATCTAGCCCCCTAATCCCATGCAGAATGTGGGGAGGGTGGGTGGCCGAATGGTTAGCACGTGCGCGCTGTATCATAAGGTCTGTCATTGAGTTAACTGGCAGGATTTTGATTCCCCGGTTGTACGTGACAATAAGTAGGGTCGTCTGTCCAACCTGGTGGGTTTTCTCCGGTTTCCTCCAACTGTTAATAAAGACCTAGTTTGTGTCGAGTGAACGTTAAACCCCTTCTCTCTCTCTCCCCTTTCAGCATGAGGGTATGGACCAACTCGGTCAAATATGTATTTTTCCATTTACTGGTATGTTATTAGCTACATGAAAGCTTATTTATATAGCATGAATGAATGCAGTCTTTGGATCGCATGCGGTCTATTAGTTTTCATAATTCAGCACTCTAAAATTAAATGGGGTTTAACATCCTACTTTTTTGCATGAAGTAGAAGTCATAGATAAAACTGTATTTTTTTTATTGTTTTGGCATAGTTAATATCTTGTCATATAATAAATATTCTTATATTTGTAGATCTATATGTGGAGTAAGGATACGAGTTGAACATTCAACTGGTGGAACAGTAAAGAATAAAGCATGTCTAAGGGAAGGTGGTGAGAGGGTTGAGATTACATCAAATAGAGGAACCTTGAGTAACTATAAACCTGATGATGACCGATCTTTTGAATATAATGAACATGGAAATATTAGATACGATTCTCGACAGACAAACATGTAAGTAGTTAAAACTTGTCGTCTTATTATTCAGTTGTTGTTGTTTGTATTTTAGAAGAGTGCCGAAAAAAGCTCCCCTTAATCAACAATTTGAAAAAATCGCTCCCCTAAAAAGCTCTCCCAGTTTCGATGAGAAGAGTGATTTAGAAATTAAGGAGAGTGATCTGACATCAAGGGGAATGATTAGTTTTGTGTGTATTGGAAATGGTTCTGAAGATCAATAACTGCATGTTAGGGGCAGGGCTGTCGGTAATTTTTCACAGATGATTAGCAGCACTGCTAATCAAAAAGTCCAATTTTGCCAATTTTGATTAGCAAATTTAAAAATTGATTAGCAGTTTTTCAGTTTCAACATAAAACACCTAAATAACAAGATTATTTTAATTTTAATTGATAACAAATGATTATATTTCATTCTTAAGATTTTTTAGAATTTTAGAACTTCTACAGGTAGCTGTGAACATTTCTGAATGAATGTAGACTTTTGGTTAGGCCTTATATCTGAAGCAAATTCTTGGCAGTGGCTTCTTATTTCTTCGTTAAAAAACAATTTCGTCTGCTTTTTATCGTGTGTTATTATTTTTGTTCAATCGGAAACACGCGGTATTTTACGAATAATCTCGATTAACTAGACGCACGCGATATAAACAATAATAGTTTACGGGAATTCTTACTTTGATTTCTCATTTTACAATACGTTTACACGTATTTATTTTTTATATTTTATTTACAATACGTGGGGGATACACTGAATTTATTTTTTTTCAAATTGAATACTGATATAATTACTCGAAATTGGCATGTCTCGCAACGTGAGTGGTACTACTTGATTCCCTATTTCCGGTTTAATCGTCCCGATTCATAGAGTTATGTCCCTGTATTATATAGTATAATGAATTGAATCTGGGTAGTTCGAGAAGAAAATGTCACACGGAGAATTCCGTTTTGTTTATAAAATTTATTTGATATTTTATACACGTTGAAAGTGTTGAGAAATGTGGATAAATCTTTGTGTCAATATCCCAAATGACAGGCATATTAATGATTCGCAGTTACTGCGAATCAAAAACGTTAGATTTTAATTTTTGATTAGCAACGGACAAAATATGTATCGCAAATTGCGCTGCGATAGAGCGATCGCTCACCTTAAATGAAATGAAATGGAGTTTAACGTCCTACTGTTCTGCTCCTAACCTGGGCTAATGAAGACGGGCATACGCCATACAGTGTGCTATGAGGGAAATTTTGCCCGGACAGCGGCACTACGGCCTATTCTTATATCGAATTCCAACTGCCAAGGGATCTTTTACGTGCACGCCAATGTGTACACGGGACCTCGGTTTTTCGTCCCATCCGAACGACTAGACAGCTTTCCTTGTCAGCCCCTCTGTCCTGCATCACTGACAAGGGAGAACCACGCCGGAAAATCTGGATGAACTTTCTCGGCCAATGCAGGGATCGAACACCCGACCTCCAGGCTAGCGAGCTAGCGTCTTACCCACTTAGCCACGTGATCCCCCGCTCACCTTAAAAACAATGACTGATTATTACGCCTGTACTGGAGAGGAATACACATGTAAGTAGTCAAAACATGTCATCTTATCATTACACCTGCACCGGAGAGGATGTCATCTTATTAAAATACAGATCCTATTTCGTTTCGTTTTATTTTTTATACTTCAAAATTTCATTTTACTTGTCTTCACAACACTAGGATCTGGAAGAGTTGTCATATAACCGGCGTTCTGGTTGAAGTGGGATAAGCCAATAAACTGTCTGCTATGGCGAGTTCTTGGCGTGTGATGCACAGAACTGTGGGTAAACCAATGTCTGACGTCATAGGGTCAAAACCTTCCACTACAACCGGTCAGATCTTCATGTACATGTAGTGTAGGCCATCGAAAGTATAAAAAAACGAAACAAAATATATGTCTGTATTTAGATTGTTTTCCGAAATGATTTTTTGTCACCTGCCTTTTGAAGGAAGCAGAATCGGCCTGTCACACTTTTTGCCGCTTATTAGCTACAGTGTTTAAACTTGGTGTATGTGTTTATTAAGTGAATGACTTGTTGGAGTTCGGTAATGAGCATTTTCTGTTTAGACTAAGCCGAGATAAGTAATTTGATTGGTCAATGCTTGATTCTAATTCTATGAGAGTGGTGATACTTGGTGTATACATGTAGTTTCATTACATCAACACCTTGGTTTGATAATGAGAATTTCTGCTCAGGTTAAACATGCATTATGCAAGAGATAAATCTGCCTATTGCATGTCTTTCATTAGGCCTGAAATGTTATCTGATTTATTAAATAGACATTAATTAACTTATCCAGACAATAATCAACTCTTGTTGTCAACACTAGCCTGCGATATTTACTGGATTATGATCCGATTTGCTTAGTTAGTTTGATAACGCGAATTTTCTGCTTAGGTTAAACATGCATTATGAAAGAGCTAAATCTGCCTATTGCATGTCTTTCTTTAGGCCTGGAATGTTATCTAAATTATTAATTTGACATTAATTAACTTATCCAGACCATAATCAACTCTCAATGTCAACGCTAGCCTGCAATATTTACTGGATTATGATCCGATTTGCTGCTTAACTTTCATTCATGATTTAATCATGAAAAGGATAATCAAGACTAGGTTTTTTATCGTACCGACTTAAGTAATGATGATCGAGGCTAGGCTGAAAATTCAATCGCTAAATTCTTGGTTCAGAGAGGATCAATTTTACTGAAATTTTCAGCAAATTCCCTTTACATTATCTAGTTTTTAACTATTATAGTGAGAACTGCCAGCTCTTTATTCAATCTCCCATAATGTATCTTTAAGAAGAATGATTTACAGATATTAACGGATTCTGTTAATTACATTTGATTGAAGGTTGGTGAGAGGGAAATGGGGTTTAACGTCCACTCGACACAAACTAGTTCATTTCGGAACTAACATCTAGCATGGTTCAGTTTTATTTCAATAATTTGCCTGCACATAGGGGTTTTTAGCAGTGGAAGGAAACCAGAGGACCCGGAGAAAACCCACGAGGTTGGACAGGTATTCCTACTCCTTGTCACATACAACCGGGGAATCGGAACAACGCCAGTTGACTCAATAACAGACCTTATGAAACAACACGCACACACTAACCATTCGGCCATCTACCACCCCCACCCCCCTTGAGGATTCTTACACTGCTGTATATAGCAGACTTAAAAGATCAGTTTAGTGAAAAATCCGTTTTTGCAATTTTTGGGGTACTGTAGGGAACACTATTGCTTCAGCATGAATCTACTTGTTATTGTTATTTTATTTCAGGGGATGTTGGATGGCCGAATTGTTAGCACGTGCACGCTGTATCATAAGGCCTGTCATTGAGTCAACTGGTGTGGTTTCGAATCCCCGGTTGTACGTGACAAGGATTAGAGTTGCCTGTCCAACCTCCTGGGTTTTCTCCGGGTCCTCCGGTTTCCTCCCACTGCTAAAGACTCCCACTGCAAGCGAAAATTAAACCATATGCTAGTCCTGAATTGACCTAGTTTGTGTCGAGTGGATTTAAACCCCATTTCTTTCTCTCTCTCTCTCTCTCTCTCTCTCTCTCTCTCTAATTTATTTCACATGTGATTTGTTTTTCTGTTCAGGATTGACAGAAAGAATGTTCTAGGACCAAGATTGATCCAAATGAAAACTTTAATTACACAAGATCCAAACATTATTAACAACACTACTCGTTATCCAACTTTGTTAGGAGAGGAAGCTGGTCAGGGAAATGTTGATTGTGTGGATTTTCTGTTAAAATCTGGAGCTTCGGTGGATTTAAAAGATAGTGAGGGTGAAACAGCAACTTGCCGCTGTTTAAAAGCCAGTGATGATGTAAGTGCTGATGACAAACTGAACTGTTTAAAGTTATTAATAAAAGCTGGTGCCAATTTATATGTTGGACATAACAAAGATGGTATGACACCACTGATGATAGCAGCAAGTGTTTGGTATGATCTTTGTTTAAAGGAAATATTAAAATTGGGTTATCTCAGTCGACGGAATGTAAAATGGAGAGTTGTTGATGATAATTATTATAAATACAGGCGTGGAGACTATTGGGGACACGGAAACAAGTTACATATTTATAATCAGAAATATCGTACCACTGTAGATTACAGAGATAAAAATGGTAGAAACGCTCTTCATCATTGTATTAGAAAAAATACATCCACATCATCGTCACGGGTCATCGCATGTATACATCATCTACATGAAGCAGGCTGTAGTTTCACTCTAAAATCAAATTTTTCATTTGACTGTTTCATAGAACAAGCTTTACGAGCTGGTTCAGTGGCACCTGTTGTTAAGTATTTGATAGATTTGGGGATTACGGTTAACTTGAATGAATGTTTACAATTAGCAGCTATTAATCTTCCATGAAAGTTTTGCTAGAAGCTGGGGCTGATTTAAGGTATAAACAAGACAATTGCACATTATTGTCCCCCGCCTTTTGAAGAAAGCAGGGGACTATTAAAATGGGTTCGTCCGTCTGTCTGTCTGTCTGTCTGTCTGTCTGTCCGTCTGTCTGTCCCGTCTGTCTGTCCGTCTGTCTGTCCGTCACACTTTTTGGGACACAATAACTCTCTTCCTAATTGAGCTAGAATGTTCAAACTTGGTGTATGTGTTTATTAGGTCAATGCCTTGATGGAGTTCGAAGATGAGCATTTTCCGCTTAGGGTAAGCAGAGATAAGCAATTTGATTGGTTGATGCTTTGGGACACGATAACTCTCTTCCTAATTGGGCTAGAATGTTCAAACTTGGTGTATGTGTTGATTAGGTCAATGCCTTGATGGAGTTCGAAGATGAGCATTTTCCGCTTAGGGTAAGCAGAGATAAGCAATTTGATTGGTTGATGCTTTGGGACACGATAACTTTTAATTGAGCTAGAATGTTCAAACTTGGTGTATGTGTTTATTAGGTCAATGCCTTGATGGAGTTCGAAGATGAGCATTTTCCGCTTAGGGTAAGCAGAGATAAGCAATTTGATTGGTTGATACTTTGGGGCACGATAACTCTCTTCCTAATTGAGCTAGAATGTTCAAACTTGGTGTATGTGTTGATTAGGTCAATGCCTTGATGGAGTTCGAAGATGAGCATTTTCCGCTTAGGGTAAGCAGAGATAAGCAATTTGATTGGTTGATGCTTTGGGACACGATAACTTTAGTTCTAATTAAGTGAGATTGATGAAACTTGGTGTATAGATTTATTATATGAATACCTTAACTAAGTTCGATAATGAATATTTTTTGCTGAGGGTAAGCAGAGTGATAAGCAATTTGATTGGTAGAAACTTTGGAACACAATAACTCTCCTTCTAATTGAGGTAGAATGTTCAAACTTGGCATAGGTGTCTATTAGGTGAATGTTTAAACTTGATGTATATGTAGATGTTCATTAGGTGAATGTCTTGACTGAGTTCAATAATTAACATTTCGAGCTGAAGCTAAGCAGAGCTAATCGATTTCATTTGTCGATGGTTTGGGACAAGATAATCTTGATTCTATCTGATAGAGAGTGATGAAACTTAGTGAAAAAAATAAATGTGCGATTAATTAATATGTGTCATCTATTTATTTTGCAATTTCGGCGGGGGACATCAGCCTCACTGTTGGCTTGTTGCATATGGCTTTGTTACAATTACTTCAGAGGGAATTTTATACCTTAACTAGCCTTCCATCTGATCTTAATCCACATAGCGAAATGAAACCAGTGCTTAAGTTTTTGTTGGAAAACAATTTAGATCCTAATACAGTATGCCATGGTGGAGGTACACCTCTGCTGTATTCATGTTGGTACAGATGGTATGGTTATCGTTTTCCTTTAGACTATTTCGTGTCAGAGAATGTCTACATCCAGAAATTCACATATGGTAATTTAGACTGGTGCTATGAGTTTTGGGTTGGTGATGATGTGTGTACAGCCTATGATACTGAGAAGAATTTGGAATTATTGAAGTTTTTGTATGATTGTGGCCTCTCTAGAAAAAAATGTCTGACTTTTAAAGGAGAACATAATCCTGATGATGTAGCGAGTTGTGCAATGTCAGGCTTTAAAGAAGAGCCTGATTCCGTGATTTGTGAATGGTTAGACAATATGTCTGCCATGCCGCCATCTTTAATGTATATGTGTAAACACAGGGTACGCGAGTTGTTGGGTAGGAATATCAAAAACAAAGTTTTACATCTTGGCCTACCCGTTGCAGCACAGAATACAGTACTGTTGAAAGATATATTGTCTAGTGACTGCTTTGATGATTAGATATTTAATCTCCGATACCACATGTCATGACCAAACTAGAACATAAAGAACCTGTCACAGACTTTGTTGAATACAAATTATCACATAACGTATATATACAAGTCTGGACATGAGGCATCTGTCAAACTTTGTTAGGCACAAACTATCACATTGTATATACTTTCTGTGATATTTTATGTATAACAAAGACTGTGACCGGTACCTTATTCCCAGGCTTGTCCATGATGCTATGTTTTTACTTTTTTATATGTCTACACTGAATGTATTTTGTTGATTTGTTGATAGGATATCATACTTATTTCCTTGTGAAACTCAAAAGACTGAGGTGAATATATTATTTTAAATTGACAAAGATTCTTGTTGAATTTTTAATCTGGGATTATTTTTGCCCCAAACTTTAAACCCAAACCCTAAAAAAATTCAGATTTTTTACCTCTTGAAACTTTGTAGTTGTTCTACTAGTCAGAGTTATCACCCTTTGAAACTGTGTAATTGCTGTACAAATCACATATTTAACCCCTTTCTCCCAGTGTGCTCATTCCGTACTACTCCACTATACACATGGTTAATCCGTAGGATTCCCACGATTTCAAATTATCTGCCCTGGCCTTGATTGTAGCTATAGTCTACGATCCAATCAAACCTGTCTTTTCGCCTTTGTTTTAATAAGGGTAGATAATCATATTCATGTCCATTTACTGAATGATTTATGTAAATAATGTATATATTTCTAATTCGTTTATATTTAATTGTATTATCAAAATCTGTAGTATGTTTCGCAGATTTCAAATATGTATAACATCTATATGTTTTGCTTTTGTTATTATTATTAATATTCGTTCTTATCTGAAATGTTTCATTCTGTTATGTTTATTATTATTGAACTTATACTTTGCAATTTGATTCACAGGAACTTGTCTGCAATATCACGTGGACGTAAAACTCTCAATAACGAACAATTCTCAATAAAACTCTTAAACCTACATAAAACTCCACAGTGTTCATTAATATATTATATAATTTGTTGTCAATAAATACGCAATTAGAATAATTTGGACTTTTAATTTAGGCCAATTCCTAACCTTATCAGATGAGAGTTACTTAACTTTGCAAACTTCCTTTTCAATTAACGATTTATGAGATTGGTCGATAAAAATAGCACAATCATCAAGGGCGGATAACTTGAAAACGTGTCTTCCCCCATAAATTAACCCAGGGTTTAGTGGAGTAGAACAGAATTAAACCACTGGGGATACCGAAACTAGTGAGGATAGTGGACATGTATGGCGGTTTAAAATAGCAGTTTATATAATTTTAACTCTACATTAATTGTTTCATAGTGTTTATGGATCCACTACCAGTTACCAAGTAATTCTTTGGAGGATTCGGCTGACGATGTCGTGTATTTCTAGATTTTTGGATATTTTAACATGTTGTATGATGCGGTCACCCAGACTGTCAATCCGTCCGTCCAATACTTGTACTCACTCCAGTTCTGAATTTGATTAAATGTTTCGAATTAGTCCAGCAAAGATTACAGAAACTGTCCACCAATTTGTTATAACACAAATGCTTACACTATCACTCACCCGGGTGAGGGTGGTTAGCGCGTGCGCGTTGTATCATAAGGTCTGCCATTGAGTCCACTGGTGTGGTTACAATTCCCCGGTTGTATGTGACAAGGAGAAGGGTCGATTCGTGGGCTTTCCCGGGTACTCGGGTTTCTTCCCACTGCTAAAGACACCTACCTGCAAGCGAATTATTGAAATAAAATTGAACCATATGTTAGACCTGGTTTGTGTCGAGTGGACGTTAAACACAATCTCTCTCTCTCTCTCTCTCTCTCTCTCTCTCTCTCACACATATTGTATTAACCAGTGGTTGCCAGGCAAGATTTACCCACATAAGGTAAGAGATGGATAGAGAACATACTAAAGAAAATGCGACTTTTGGTTCTGTTAGTGATCACAATCCAGGAAGTTACGGTCCGGAATTTGAACTTATAACCATCATTAGCCGGATAAAAAAATGCGTTTTATTCGTCCCTGCATTGGCCTGGAAAGTTTATCCAGATTTTCCGGCGTGGTTCCACCTTGTCAGTGATGCAGGACGGAGGGCCTGACAATGACAGCTGTCTAGTCGTTCGGATGGGACATAAAACCGAGGTCCCGTGTACACATTGGCGTGCACGTGTAAGATCACATGGTTGGAATCCGATATAAGAGTAGGCCGTAGTGCCGCTTTCCGGGCAAAATTTCCCTCGTAGCACACTGTATGGCGTATGCCCGTCTTCACTAGCCCAGTTCCGACTAAATACCTACTCCTGGCGGCTGAAATATACACATGGCTGTTCCTTAACTAGTATGACAGTCCGATAATCTTAGGATCTCGTTTTATTCATCTTATCCTTGCCGCAGGTCCCGTTCTGATAAGGGGAAAAACGCAAAACATTCAGGCCGTAGTGCCGCTTTACGGGCAAAATTTCCCTCGTAGCACACTGTATGGCGTATGCCCGTCTTCACTAGCCCAGTTCCGACTAAATACCTACTCCTGGCGGCTGAAATATACACATGGCTGTTCGTTAACTAGTATGACAGTTCGATAATTTAGGATCTCGTTTTATTCATCTTATCCTTGCCGCAGGTCCCGTTCTGATAAGAGGAAAAACGCAAAACACTCAGATTTAGATGTTGAACCAATACTATAGGATTATTTTAGGTCTAAGAAAAGTGTTCTGTTTAATATTGAAATCTTTACCTACATGATGTGTGACGAAAACTAGGGTAATTAAGTAGCTTGCATTACTCTGCTACTTCTTAGTCTAACTCACAGACACTTATGTCAGTACCTATTTCTGGAAAGTAGGGTACTATCGTCCAGTCACCTCGTGCACGGATTAGTCCAATTAAATAGAATGATGTTGACGTTAAACGGTGCCTATATGAAACACTTACCCAAAAATGGTAATTGTCCCGCCCTAATAGATGACGCATTACATTTTCTATATAGGAAAGAGCGGGTTTGATTTACCCTCAGACAATCATTCGGAGCTCAAGGGGAATATACCTATAGCCTCCTCGGCTTAGAGGCTAGGGCGAACACATCATCCTAGCGCGAACCTTATGTAGAACTAACAAGAAGTATGTGGCTCTTGCCACGTTTAAGCCGTTAGGTCTGAGTTAGAAAGGATATTAAACACAGACCGTGGATAATTTAATAACTCAAAAAGTAACTATCATAGATATTGTAGTTTCGTGTATATAACCTTTGTAGTTTGCTGTATTCGTTACATAAACTTAGTAACAACATAAACGGTGTTCAAGAGTCAATTAATTGATGATTGAAATAATTGATCCAACAACGTGAAGTCCAAGCATGTCCTAGACGATTATCTGTCCCCATAGTGTCACGCCGATTTATAAACACAAAACATTTAGATTTAGCAAGTATACACAAATCTAAAAACACAAAACATTTAGATTTGGACATTGTACACAAATTTAAAAACACAAAACACTTTGGTTATTGTACACAAATTTATAAACACAAAACATTAGGATTTGGATATTGTAAACAAATTTAAAAACACAAAACATTTAGATATTGTACACAAATTTATAAACACAAAACATTCAGATTTATATGTATATTGTACACAAATTTATAAAAAAAATTAAGATTTGGATATTACAAACAAATTTAAAAATAAAGCACTTTATGTCATTTACCTCGTTTGTATTAAGCACTAAATGATCAAATAATAATATTCAAACATTTATACAAAAGTTACAATATTCACCAATGGCGAAATTCAAATACTCAAAATCCTTCTGTAAAGCAAGGACCCGCAGTTATCGAACATCTTAAACACTCAATCGTTTCTCGTAAATTGAATGGTCGTTTAACGTTCAACTTTTATTGCTCCATCCAGGCTAATGAATACAGCATACGCCATGTAGTGTGCTAGAGGGAACTCTTGCTCGGACAGCGTCGCTACGATCCATATATTTAATTTGAATTTTAACTGGATCTTTTAGGTGCATGACAACGTGCTCACGGGATCGTGTCAGGCTCTCCGTTCTGTAGGAGGATCAGTTCCTGTACATTGTGTTTTATATTTGTATACCCTCTGAATTTTGAATATTATAAAATGGAGCGTACATATGGCCGCAAGGAATGATCGCCAGGCCTCATCAGTGTTGACTTTAACCTAAGTCATGCGTATCCCCGTATTTCCAGTATCCAATTAATTCACTTCACCCAAATATGAATTTTACTAAAAAAAAATACAAAACTAACACTTCTATATAGTCAAAACACAATAAATGTTTAATTCGAGTCCCTCGTATGAATGTTACTCAAAACATTGCAAAGACAATAGAATGTCTGAAACGTATCCCATGTTGGAGACACAATTATCGTACTCTGTGTGTTATATTTGGCATGACTAGAATTGCGATTTGCCGCGATTACGAAATGTTCAAACCAATTTGACTCGGCCTCAATTCACACAAATTTGACTTGGCCACAATTCCGAAATTAGCACGAATTGAACTCAGTCTGAAATACTAAATTCGCACGAATTAAATTCGGCCTCAAAACATTCTGAAGATAGGACGTCCTTTAAAAGGAGCAAATCTTGACAGTGAGTGGGAATGTCTAAACCAGGAACTTTGTTCTTGATGTCACGTCCCAATAATCCACGTATACTCGATGTTTACAGATCGTAAACAATGATTGTGCTGAAGACGCCATTTTATCCAACCATTGGTTTACTGCTGAACCAGGATCTTCATCTTCTTTAAATGTCAGACAGGATTTGGTAGATAAACCGCATGTATGTAAAAATTTCAACAAATCTAATTTTGTCTTCCCCTGGAAAAATTCAGCCTGTTCGCATAATTCATAACATGATTTCAGGGATCGGTACGATGTTTGCCCAAGAGAAAGGTTCTCCGACAAAAGGTACTCACGCGCAAAACTGAACTCGTCTAATTTAAGAAATGACAGATCCAGAGCAGAGTATCTACCATCTTCATGAAACGAAACGTTAACATTATTCTGTATTAAATATCGAATCATTTCCTTCATTTTGTGGTGTCTTTCGTCGCGGAGTAATGCTCTATTTCTATGATGTCCCAAAATAACCATATGGAGGGGTGTGGTACCACGTAGAGGATGTACCATGGTTAAACTGGCGCCCTCTTTGATCATAAAATCTACTGTACTAATATTTAGAAGACCCACGGCTCTCAATAAATCATCATTCAGGTCCATTTTATAGCCTAAAGTCGTTAAGTATTTAAAAACAGAACTATTTACTTTCAGAGCTTGATTTATTACGTTGATATCGCCTGCTTTAAGATAAAAATCACTTCCAGAATCGTGTAACAATTTAAGGCAAGCTATCATTTTGGCAGGCGATTTTCTCCTCTCAAAGCAATACATAGAAGCCATAAAACCGTCATCATCTCTAAAATCTACATCTTTTTTATATGCCTCCTGATATTCTCCGTAGGATGGTAGGCCGTAGGATGGGGGGCGGAGTCCCAATCTAAGCAATGATTCGTCTGACCGTAATTCGCAGTCAGAATCTAAATATTCGTCTGACAGTGATTCGTCGTCAGAATCTAAATATTCGTCTGACAGTGATCTGTAAACTCTTCCGACCCGCCGGTTATACTCTTCAAATGGGTCGTATTGAATTTTATATACCTCCTCATATTCTCTAAAATTCTGTACACCAATCAAAGGTTCAAATTTATTAGGAAATCTGAGAGCAGATTGTGATTTGGCGGACCTCGCTCTTGACCCACCGTCATTTGATCCCGACGACATTGACATCTTTGTCGCGTACTGACTTGGAGTAAGTCCATTGAGATAGCCTACTTTCAGTATTTCTTCTAAGCACTCTGTTTCGCCATGATACGCAGCTAGCATCAATGGTGTCATCCCCTCATCTGATTGTTCTACATACAAATTAGCACCAAACCTTAGCAATAACCTCACACATTTCAGTTTGTCTTTTGAAGACACGTCTCGTGCTTTTAAACATCTAGCCATGGCTGTCTCATCATATTTCCTCAGATTTACATCAGCCCCAGCATATAACAATGCTTTAACACACTCGGTATTGCAGAGACCAGCTTCCTTAACGAGTGGGGGATAGTAAGGGTCATTTATTCTATGTGGCGTGTACTTTATCAGATTTTTAATTTTCTTCAGTCTTGCCTTCAGTCTCGGCTTCAGTCTTGACTTGCGAGTCTTCATCTCTTAGATGTAGGACACGTGGCTGAAAAAATATCAAATTATATTAAATCCTATGGATGATGCGAAAAATATAAGTTTGTGTACATGAAGAAGAAGAAGAAGAATTGTTTTATTTAAGACCTACGAGACACAACAAGCATGATAAATCATCTACATTCGAAGATAAAAAATAAATACATGTAGTAACAAAGATAAAAATAAAATTTGAAACGTACTAAAAATAACATTTTACTATTACATGTTCTTTAGTATGTTAGCAATCACGATATAAATCGTTTAGAATAAGAAAACATTAAGCAGCTAAAAACAAATGGGCATATAAAATAATAGTAATCAAAATGTCATCATATGTTAAAATATTTTCTATGATAAATCATTTTTTAACAGTGGCAGCTAGGATTTTTACCAGGTGCGAATTGATCATTAGGGAACATAGCTGGT